GGAGATTTTTAAAAATGAACGTAATAAACAGTGAAATAAATAATACAATGCAAATAGAAAAAAATTAATTTATTAAAAGTGATTTCTGGTTATAAGTTTTTAAAAATTGATGTTGAACGTTGGTGTTGCACCGTCAACACATGTAAGTGCTTTGCAAAATTAATAGTTAAAAGTCTTATTGGTACTGAAATTGAAATTTTTAATGAACATAACCATGAGCCATTACCGGAAAATATTTTAACTAGATAAAAAATTAGTAACAATTTAAAACGAAAAGCAGTTTTCAGACATGACAGACATGTTTGTTAGAACATCGACAATTTTACATTCTGAATTGAAAAATGATGATATTAAAAATATAACTTCTGGAGATTTTTTGTTCATAAAAAAAAAAAAACATAATGCTTGATACTCAAAGTTACCCAAATTACCTGCTTCACTAACACAAATTCACGAGACTTCAAAAAAATATGGAATTTAAAACAATTAAAGGTGAAAACTTTTTGTTAGTTAATAATACGAAACAAATATATTGGGTTTCTCGACAATTCGTAATTTACAATGTTGTCTGACCTTCTATTCAAGTAAAGGGGTATAGATTCCACCTAGGACAGAGTTGGCACAGAAAGATTCAACAGTTGGGACTTAGTACCAATTATAAAAAAAAAAAAAAAAAAATACAGAAATAAGTAATTTTTTAAAACTCTTTTTTGGACTTCCTTTCTTAAGTCCACAAGATATTGAAAACTATTTTACTGAAGACATTATGGAAATACAAGATCCTCGAGTATTAGAATTCACATACTATACTCGTATATTAGATTCATATATAAAAAATGACGCTGACTTTCCACCAGAAATATGGTCAGAATATTTATCATTGACATTACGCACGACTAACAATTGCGAATCTTTCTATAGAAAATTAAATAGCTTATTTGATTCATCTCGCCCTAATATTTATAATTTTATAGATGTTCTAAAAAATATACAAATCGATACTTATATATAGCGTTACGAAGTCAGGGCTCAAGAAATAGAATAACAATTGAAAAAGAATATATTAAAAAAAAAAAAAATGGAAGAATTAGAAACTAAAAAAATTACTCAAATTGAATTTGTGAGGCAATTGTCATTCAAATTTTTACCTACTTTTATATAGACTTATAAGTTATACTGAATAAGTTAATAACTGAAAAAGTAAGAAAAATTTAACAGCTTAGTACCAATAAAAATATGCAATTTTAAATAATAATAAATAAATACAACAATAAATATTTTTAACCATACCAACATTATAACAGTAATATTGACAGTCCTAAGTCTGATAAAATGGGAAGGAAAATATTGGTTGTAAATTGGTAATATACATTTTAATATAAAAATACCTGGAACGCAATTTACATAAAAAAGGTACATTGGGACGCAACTTACAGTCACCCCACAGTTGTAGTGAGCTACGGGAAGTTTTTTTTTTTTTTTAATAATCCGACTTATCACAAACGACGTCGTCGTCAAAATGTAACACCACGTGAAGACAAGTTTCAGACAACGTGTTTCATTTTCTTAACAAGGCAAATCCAGGAAAAATAAAAACACAGAACGAATTATACACATACCCTGTATATTTCACAACACTTTGCAAATCAAAACAATAGTGTATATTCATATAAATACCAAAAAAAAAAAAAAAAAAAAAAAAAAAAACAAATAAATAGGTACCAAAACTAATAACAGTGTAAGCTACTCGTTTGTGATTTAAAAAAAACACCAAAATCAATTAATCTATACATAATATTAAAATAATATTGTAATATATATATTTATAACACTAACAAAACAAAAAATAAAGGTATAGTGGGCTGCTTTGCGAGTTTTGTTTTTTCCCTTAAAGTACGAGTTACATTATTATTATATTATATCTGTGTAAAAGTACTAATCAATACAATAATGCATAATAAATAAATATAAATGTAATTTATACAAGTAAAAAAAAAAAAAAATTACATTGACATTAATGTAATACGATAATGAAGTGTTTGTACAATTTAAAATCCAAGTCCGTACCTACACGATTTATAATGATTATTATTATAATAATACGATGACGACTATATTATATACACATAAATCATACATGTACCTATAACATAACTAAACCACATGCTTTACAAATGCACAATTTAAACTATGATTTTTTAATACGTGTATCACACGATTAATAGTATTAAACGATCAGTTATCAGGTTTTCAAATTATAAATATATGATATACATAACAAATGGGTATATAATATGTTTGTTTTGTTTGCACAACATTAAAATTAGTACCATTAATGCCACTCGTAATATGTCATTTAATATACATTGTAATCGTACCAAGTCATTATAATTACACCACGGCGCTGTCTAAAAATTTGTCCGTAAACCCAATAGTGGTAGAAGAGGTTTTTTTTCAATCGATTACTTTGTACAAGCACACTGTACGGCACACATTCGCGAATCGAAACATCGGTAATAAGGCACAAAGTTAAAATATTTTTTTCTCTTTCCACAAAATTAAACCAAACGGACAAACACTGCACAACGGATGCGTTCATTCAAAAGTAAATTTAGTTATACAATGTAGCCTATAAATGAATTTAGTTAATTTATTATTTTTTATACAATGCATTATTTCTGAGATCTCAATAAGTAATATATTTTAATGTGATCAGTCTTAAAAACAGTATATAATAGTTCACCGACTTTAATTAACACATACGGTTATAAATATATATATAAAAATTAATAATTAAATATTTTCAAACCAATTTATAAATTCAAACTCTTAAACTAAGTAGGTACGTAACTTAATTGTGATTGAGATGATTTGTTATAAATTCAATTTTATACAATATGGTTCCTTTAAGTCTATATGTGAATATAATATATATTTGGTCATTTAATATATTTACAAGTATATAGGTGTAACGCACAATATAGAGTCATACGTATATCATGTTATATATGTACGAAAAATAGTAGTTCTGTATTTATATAATAAATATATGTGTGTGTAAATATAAACATAAAGAAAAGTACAAGGTGTTTATTATAATAAAATATTTAGTTAAAAAAAACTAAATGTACAGAACAATATGATCCAGTTTAAAAGATGTTCTTTCACAAAATATGTAGTGCAGAAATCCGAAATTCACTAGTACAGTATAAATAATACTAAAACCATTTATTAAGCTGTACATATATATATATATATATATATATGTGTGTGTGTGTTTAAAAAAAAATTCATTTTAAAGAATTTAAAATTTACGTAAATATTTAAATCTGAAATTAAAAAATTATTAGATTACCCACAAACATTTTTAAAAAAAATCATGGAATATACATTTAATTGTTTTGAAAAATATTAATTTTATTTACTATCATTTAACCCTTATTATCCTTTTACTACGAAAAATAAACCGCCAAAACGTTTAGTCGCAATTGAAAACACAATAAGACTGAAAATTCTTAAATCGGAAAAAAAAATAGTTCTGTTAATACCAGGGAAACAATATTTGGATTATGTTCAGAGATCACATTAAAATAATTTAGAATATTAGTCATAAATATACCTCCGTTTAAAGCTCGAAATTTTAAAAATAAATTAGAATAATTACAATTACGTTTTATCAAAAATACCTTTGGGATTTAGCTCTTCAAATCACAGCCAATATCAAATCTGAAATAATTTGGGGAATGTGTTTGGTTAAGATATTCGTTTAGTGTAATACATTACTTATAACAATAAAATACTTTAAAATAATATTGAAATCGAAGGAAAACTAAAGTGGAATTATAATTCATCAGTTTTTTTTTTTAGTTTTTTTTTTTTTTTTTTATAATAAAATAATTAAAATACTGACTAGGAACAAAATATGACTAATGAAAAACTAACTTGAGTAATGTTAGAGTGTGAGAAGGATTTTAGGGTATAAATTATATTGTTTTAAGCTAAAAAAAGTTATTTGTAACCAAGGGTAAAACAACTTAATACTAATATCAAACTAAATCATCTTTAATAACTATTCAATATTTCAATTTTTCAAACAATAAACTTAAATACATTTTTAAATAATTGTATTTGATTACCATTAATAAATGTAACAAGTACAAGTGAAATAATATTTAACTTCAATGTAATTTTTTTCTCTATTGAATAGTAATCGTTTCATCCGTTGTCATTGAATAAAACCTGCACAATATTGGCGATTCTTTAAAATTGAAAAAAAAATTGGAACGGTAATTCAAATTTGAGTCAAATTATGAGCGATTCTATTCAACCATTTATAATTAGTGTTAAACATAAGCAAAACTGATATAAATTTGAAAACGTTAATAATAAAATATAGCATACTTAATTGTAATTTTGATTATTGTTGGATAACTATAACAAATTGGCGTTAATAAACAAGAGATACGATAATGATGATCAATAAATAGAGGGAACTCCAATTAATCCTATTAAAGTTGTTGGAATACTAACATTTAACAATATAAAATTAATTTATAAGTTTACGGGGTCAATGTTTCCGTTAAAATATGAACTACGCGAACAATAATAATCTTTGGTATTTTTACAGCTCTTTTTTTTCAAAATTCAAAAATCAACAATTCAAAACAAAATAAAATCAACAAAACTATAACCTCACATAAATAACAATATAATTATGTATGATCACCAACGAAAGCATATGTACCTGTTGTAAATAAAATCTTAACAGTCAACGAAAAAAATAATAATAATATAATAACTACAATAGGATCATCCGTTTTGTCTAATACAATGTAGATTTTTGATAAAAAAAAATCATATCGAAAACAACAATCGTAAAATATAAAATGTAAAACAACAATTGAAGAGAAAAATCGTGATAAAGTTTCAAGGTTAAAATTAATATTGGTAACATATGTGTTGAATCTGTCCCATTTATGAAAAAAAACATGTTTTTTTTGTTTTTATTCATATTTTTCTGAAAAAAAAAATGTACACAACCGTAAGTTACAAGATTTAATAGTTCGATACACGCATAGGTCATATAAAAAAAAAGTGACTTATCGAGGATATGAAAACATACCTGATGGTAGCTTAAGTGTATCGAGCCCTTTTCACGCCATGGGTGTCTGCAGCAGATTCGGAAGTAGGAACAAGGTGTCCTAGGTGCAAAGTGGTGACCCCACCTGCCGCCATTTCGTCCAATTTTCGGTCTCTGACTAGCCGAACCATCAACTGAGGAGTGTCATCATTATTGTCGTCGCCCCCCTCGAATCCATTACCACTCACATAACTAGTGTAATTGTTGTTCTGTCCATTTCGTCGAATTACGATTTTTGGCAATTTTCGAAAACATTCCTGTTGTGAACTGGTATTGCTATTAGTAATACTGCTGTTGCAATTACTACCACTGTAACTATCATCGTAGTCCCTTTTAAGACTGCTAGAGCTATCGTTGTAATTCTTATTAGGGCTACTAAAAAAGTTATCACCGTCTTTTGCATAACTATTACTAACTACATCGCAGTCCACTGCAGGGCTTCGCGTTTCGTCGTAGTCTTTTACGGGGCTACTAAAAATTTCGTTGTCGTCTTTTGCAGAGCTAGTCGCTCTCTGTAGTACTAATCGTTTGACGTTCACCACTGACTTGGGCGATACTATGGACCGACAAGTCGCAACTTGCCACTCACTTGGTGTTTGACTCAATCTCACTTCCACTTTAGCCGGACCCAACTCGAGTTTTGTATCCTTTGTCCTCTGCTGATCTTCAGCTCCCTGGTTGTTTAAATTAAATATTCTGCCCCAAGGTAATTGCACTTTGATTTTACACATTGGGTCCGCTGTTTTCACAGCCATTACGTTCCACCGTAATACTGCGATCGGGGGACATTCGACGATTGCGATGTTGCCGACCGCAAGGTTGTTGTCGACATGTTTCATTTTACCAAGTTGCCGTCGACGCCGTTTCTTTAGTTTCATACCATTCACTCTACGAGCCAATAATCGAATGTTGAATTTGTCTCTAATGTTAACTCGATGCTTAGCTAGTTTTGATATTGTTTTATGCAGTACAGTCTTATATTCATTTTCCAAAGATTTGTCCCAATACACTTTATCGCCGCAGTATTCAGGTGTAGAGGTTTCTGACTGAAAATCGTCGAATGGTGACGGAACTGGTGTATAAATATATTCAGGAGAAAACCCTTCATATGGCTGGTCATCGACAAACGCACTATTATCGACAATATCTAATTTTTCGTTACACTGTTTATTCGCAACACTATAATTGTCTATACTATCATTACACTGTTCATTTGTTACACTGTTCTTACACTGTTTATTTGTTACACAGTCGCAACACTGTTTTGAATCGAACTCAGTCAAAGGTATATTTTCTTCGCCAATATAACTAGGAAGTTTTGAGTTTTGTGTAATACTATCAGCATTAATTTTTATTAGTGAACATTCCGTTTCGATAGTATTTTTTACAATTTCTCGAGGTTTGCCAATAGATTCTTTTCTATAAATTAATTTCCATGGTTTGTAAAGTTTATTCCGTTTTTTAAAAATATGTCTAGTACTTAATCGATCATCTTTAATGACATTGGATTTTTTGACTTCTTCATCAAATATATTTTTTTTCATAATACTTTTACAATGATATTTGAATACAAACTTGACTTTTGGTGATTTTTTATCTTCATCAACATTTTCTGAGTTAACAGTATTTTTAATACAAGATTCATCATTTATTTGATGAACTGATAATTTTGAACCTTTTGTACTTGTTGAATGCTCAACTAATTCATTAGAGTGTTCGTTACATGTTAATCCTGGCTTATGTAATAAAAGGGATTCTGAGTTGGCCGAACTTTTAACTTCAATATTATAATTAGAACTGTGTAGGCATGTTGATTCGACATAATTTAATGAATAAGATTCAGATTTTTTTGCAACTTCAGTCTCAAAAATTTCTTTAGAATATTTTTGATATGTTAATTCAATGTGATTTAATGAGCTAGATATGGAATTGATAGAATTATCAACCTCGACAATATTATTCAAATTCTGATAGCATTTTGAATCAATATTGTTTGATGAACTATGTTTAGAACTTATTTTTTCTTTGACTTCAACGATGTTACTGGAATATCTTTGACAGATTAATTCCAAATGATTTAACGAACTAGGTTCTGAATATGTCAAGTTATCAAGCTCAGTTATATCACTTGAATATTTTTGGTATATTGATTCAGTATTATTTAATGAACTACGATTAGAATAATTATTTTGACTATCATTATCGTCATTATTGTCTAATGTTTTTTTTGTATTTTCTATAGTGTCTAATAAATCGGATTTTATATTATCATATGTGTTCTTTGTAACGTCACCTTGAACTATGTCAACTGCCTGGTTTTTTATAGTTTGAATATTGTTTTGATTTATTAACTCCATATAGTTTTGTTTAATGTAAGTGTTCTGTTGTTCTTCCAACATGGTAGTGTCTTCATATTCTACTGTTTTATTAGAAGTATCTAAAAATGACCTATCTTTATTAAATGTATATTCATTCGATTCTTTTGAATTACACTCTTTTGTTGTTAAAACTTTGTTGGTTTCTTCTTTCAAATCGTTTTCACGTTGTGACAACGAAACAGTAATTATGGATCCATATGAATTATCATGAAGTAGATTGTTTGATTTATTTAATGTTTCGTCCGTTTTTTTTTCCATATCACTTCCAAAACTTGTTTCCGTATTCTCAATTTCTAAATTTTGGTCTTCAATACTTTCTTGACTTTCAGGGACGGCACATTTATCATCATTGTGACAGAAATTTTTGGAAGTATTTAAGTTATCTTTTTCAATGTTGAAATTTGTAAAATTGTCATAAACGTTTTCAAAAACATTTTGAACTTTAGTGTTATTACTGAAATTAGAATTATTTTGAGTGTCAAATTTTTTGAGATTATTTTTTTCGGTATTTTCATTATGGACATCATTACGTACTTCAGAGTCAAGGTTTTCTTTTTTATTATTTTCTGCTATACAATCTTCAAAAACATGATCGATTATATTTTTTTTATCTTGTTCTCTATCAATTACATCATTCAGTGCTATACTATCATTACAACCCAAGTTTAAGGTTTCTTCAGTTTCAGTTTTTTCAGGATTATTTGAAAAATGTTTGGCATTAATTTCATTTTGTGCATTATTACCTTTATCGACAACTTTATAATCGTACACGGAGTCTATTTTATTTTCATAGGTTTCTTTTGAACTAGTCGATACGTGAACATTAACGTTGGAACATTCCATTTCTAAATTTTGAATAATCTTTGTTTCGAAATCAAAATCATGTATTTTTTCCAAATTTTGAGTTTGGTACTTCTCATTATTATTATTTTCCAATTCAAAAATACATTTACTATTAATATGGTGTTCAATATTTTTTACTGTTTCCGAATGAAATGTTGATTCAAGATTATTTTTATTATTTTTTAATTCATTAGTTTCTCTTTCATTTTCTATAATTATAGTGGATGAATTAGATTCAAAAATATTTGTATCATCAATATTTAATTCAAAATCAATATTCGAATGTTTTGAAGTTTTGGTTATTTTATATACATTAGAATTATCGCCATTTATTTTATTAACTTCAGTAGCTTCAGTAGGATAATCACATTCAATAATTCTTTTAGAATTTGTTAAATCTAATAAGTTTTTTTCTTGATCTTCAAACCTAAAATTACGGTCTTCAATAGTTAAACAATCAACATTTTTTTCTGACATGGATGTCTTGCCATTATTGGTATTTTTTTCTATTGAATCAAATGAGTGTTTTGATTTATGTTGATCTATACAATTTTCATTATTACTTCGAATTAGATTAATATTGCGATTTATATCATTTAAAATGCTACAGTCTGATTGTTTTTCAGAACTTTGATTGCAACTTATATTTTTATTACTTTGAAGTTGAAAATCATGTTGAATTTCGCTATCGTAATTAAAAACCGTTGGAACTGATTTTTCATGGCCATCGATTTGTTTTTGATCATATACAGCATCTTTACTTTTATTTTCATCAAAATAGTTTTTAATTAAATAGTTTGATTGAAAATCACATTCAAAAGGCAATCGAGTGTTATTAGATGTGCTATTTGAATTAGCTGTATTATTAATGGTATGTTCACCAATTTGATCTTGAATCCTTTCCTCTAAACATTTATCAACAATAACTTCATTAAAAGATTTATTTGATTCATTATTACAATGCATATCAAAACCAAATGAAGTTTCAAATTCGTCCAAAGTATCTCGATATTTCTGATCATCAGTTTTCGTGCTTTCTAAGCAATGAAAAAAATCAGTAGAGTTAATTTTTTCATTTTCGGTGTTATGGATTTTATTCGTAGTTAAATTACTACCATTTGTATTTTCTGATAACTTCGTGTTTTTTTCCTGATAATTTTCATTTATTTTTGACTTCGACATAAATGTGTTGAGATTTTCAGGCGTGCTTTTAAATTGCGTTATTTCTACATCACACTGTACAACAGCACTAGAAGAACGATTCAAATCACCTTTAAGTACAAATTTTTCTGACCAAACGTCAAATTGATTTAATTGTACATTATTATACTTCGATTTCAAATCGGCCATATTGAAAATATTTGTTTGATTATCATTTATACCATGTCCAGTTTTATTTGATATTACCCTTCTATCATTAACGATATTCAAATCATCGTATTTTAGCTTTTGTTTAATAACAGTGTACATCTGATTTGGGTCTCGTATAATAGGTTTTACAACGTTAAGTTTAGGCGGTATAGCCATAGGAGCTAATGGCTCTTTATCTTTAAAATTTGGTAATCCAACAATATCAGACTTATTCTGATCATTTTTAACATTTGTCATTTCATTTGTAGTTCTAATACACTTGGATTCTGTAAAGTGTTCGAAAATCGAACCATCTGTCCTATTTTCGCTATCGTTAGTCGGCTTCTTAAATGGTATGTATTCATGTGGTTCATTTATAACTGGCAACTCAAACCCATCGCTAAAATCAGGTATTCGATTATTCAAGTTGAAAACATCTCGCGAACGCGTATTGTTGTTAGAATTCATATCGCTAGGTTTTGAAAAAGGTAAATCTTTTATAGTGGCTAGTGTTTCGTTTTCAACTTTTTCACTACAAATGTTTATTTTATTATTAGATTCTACAAGAGAATTCATTTGATTCGAAAATAACTGATTATGAACTTCACTATGATTAGTAGATGGGTTATTGATTTTTTTACTAGAATGGTTATCATAGCTTTCAATGAAATTCCAACTGTCAAAAAACGAATCATGATTAGTATTAGCTTTACTGTTTACTGTCAAATCAACACATGGCACGTTATCCTTCCATTGGGCCGAAACGTTTTTGTCCGAATTCATATTATCTAAAATGTTATAATTATTTCTATCATACAAACAAGATGATTCCATATTCATATTGGTATTTTTCATAATTTTATCCAAGTCATTTGATATATTCCAGTTCATGCTTTCAAAATCGGTTTGCGTCGGTACTTTATCAAATTTATTTTTATCACAACCAGTTCTCTGAATGACACTTTCGTGAAATCCGTTGTACTCTTGTCTGTGGATATTTGGTGATACTATAACTGGAAAACTTCTATTGTGTGAATCCATTTGATGTACTGAAGGTTCATCATTAGAAATCGTGGAGTTGTAGTTACTGTTTTCATTTAATACTTTGTTAAATTCATCATTTCCGTTGTTAGATTTATCAACACTAGACGGATTCTTTTCAAACACGAAAGGATTGCCTTTAGTTTCATCAGTAAGAGAAGAAAAGTCTAGCGGTTTAATAGTAACACTGTGATCATATAAAGACATATTTAAATTCTGTTCTTGAGATCCTTGATCGATGTTCCATGGTGTTGGTTCTTCATTGGTAACGTTCAAACATTTTTTGGTTATATTTTCTACAATACACGAAGAATTCATGTGGTTAGATTTAATAGTAGATGCTTTATTACTTTCGTTTAAAATACAAGAATTGATTCTAGGAGTAGAATCATTATTACAATCAATTTTATTTATGACGGACGGTTCAATATATTTGTCTGTATGATGTAAATTGAACATCTGTTGACTTTGTGTATATTTTGATGAATCTTTGATCGAGTTATCAATAGATCGATTCGTTTGAGTTATTTGTCCGGTATATGCTGCCGTGCCAAAAGATACACCATCATTTTCTTGTGATTTACTGAGATTGAAAATTCTGTCAGCTAATCTTTCAATGAGATCTGTAGATGAAATATCAGTATTCTTTTTACCGTACCAAGCGACCATTCCATCAAAATTAACACTATAACTTTTTTCAGGCTCTCCATTTGATTCTGGCAAAGTTTTTTTTTCATTAATAAATGGTTTAATGATTCCCGTTTCTCGTTTCGTGTAGTCTAGGGGTTCGAAATTCGATTTCGACGGTAATTTTGCTTTATTATTAATATAGTCTATTTCATTTGGTTCAGTATTAATAATTAATGGGTTTTGATTTTCTTTAAGTACTTTTTCTAAGTTTTCATAAGATACAACATTTAATTTTTCTTGAATCTTAGTCAATGCATCACCTTCGAGTGTCATGCAGTCAAGTACTACAATTGGTGCAGCAGCCTCATACGACTTTTCATTGGTTTCTTCTTCTCCTTCGTCCCAAGTAGCTAGAAATTCTCTGACATTCAAATTACTCTTAGTAGAATTTTGTGGCGTGATTTGCGTTGGTCTAAATGGTTCACTCGGTCTTTGTACATCTGGATAAGATTGCATTGGTTGATCATTATAATATTGTTGTAAATATGATGATGAATTTTGATTATTTTGAGATGAAATAGGTAGTCTAGAATTTTGTTCGTGAGATACATACTCAGGTGTATTGTTTTTCAATGGATTATGGTAAATCGAAGACCGATAGTCATGTACATCGGGTATAGGTGGAATGTAGTTATAAGGTTTATGAGTGCTACTCGTAGAATTTGGATACGGTTTGCTTTGATAATTTGGTAATCTTTGGTAATTTTTGTCTCTACTGTAATCATGTGATTCTATACCGGAATAGCGACTTATAGGGCGTAATCTATCGGTAGGCCAAGTAGGATTGGCTGCAGGGGGAATCCACAAGTTATTAGCAGGAGGACAATAATTTGTATTGTTTAAATATGAGTTGCTGTACTTTTGCTGATAACAGTTTTGTGTATCATATTTAACAGGTAAATCATTTGGAATGTACGGTAGGAACTGTTCGGAGCACGGTGTTTTTAAAGTCTTTTTTGATTTATAAGATCTGTTTAGTTGCTGACCGGGTCGAATGGGGTTGTATAACACTTGTGGTGGGGATGTCTTTGGTATATTTTGAGACCTGAGTCGACAACATGGTTGACAACATTGAGGCACGTTTTGCCCGTACATATTTGCAGGTACATATTGATTGGTAGCTGGTGGGTACGGAGTAGGAAAGTCGAGATTATAATATCTAGAATGAAAGCCGTACAAGTGGTCAAGTCGAGGATTTGAATTCCATGGGTATACCGCCGGTGCAGTAGGTTCGGTTGATATAAGGGAGTTTTGATGGATTGGGGCGACGACATTATGAGGCGGAACATATGCAGATGAGCAATTTGTAGTTCCATAATTAATTTGACCATCTCTCAAGCTGTTTAACATAACTCTTCAGAAGATCTACATAAGCTGTTAAAAAATAATCAAAATGAAACAAATTATATAGTTTATAAATACATATGTAAGGATAGAATTGTGAAAATTTTCTAGAAATAATAACAAAATGTCACTAAGAAATATGATCACTGAAAATACGTACCATCGATTGATGGTTAACCCAATGTACAACGTGTACAACGAGTATAAAATATCCAAGTACATTATATTATAATATTTAGCTATAATTATTCCTCTAAACAAATTTTTCCGCACAATTTTATAAAATAAAAAATTAATTAAATTATAAATTAACAGTTGAAGAATTTGTTATGTTAAAAATATTCCAAACAAATCAAGCAGTCATTTTTAAATAATAGAAAATATTATAATATAAAAATAAAGTAAATGTAGAGATTATTATTTAATTAAGTTTGTATATTTTTTAATATACATAGATAAAAACATAATCAAAAACAAATAATATCAGATGATGAAATGTTTAAATTAAATACAATGAGTTATGAAGTCTTTAACAATTAATGATGTATACATTTCATTTGATTCTATTCACCTATTTTTGGAAATTTATGAGTTTGTTAAATATTTATGCGTGATGTTTTTTTTTTCATTAGGCAATATAGGAAAACACATGGGTCATTCGAAGAAAAATGTTTTTCATATATTATATTTACGTTTCCGTTTCTATGGAATAATCGATAAACATAATAACATAACCCTTCGAACTCTACATACAAAAATACGAATATAATGACAAACCAAATTTTTAATCAAATAAAATGCTATCATATTATTAAGGTTATTATTATTATATGAATAATAAACTTGAATAATAACACCGTTTAAATGAATTGAAATAATTTAAGATAATGAAATTTAATTTGTAAAAATGTTCAAACACATATTTGTATTGTACATGCTATTACAATAATGCGAAATAATTATGATTTTCAAATATTGACATAAATCAAAAATTACTTTTTCTTTTTTTTAATGCTTCAACGAGTTTCTTACATTACATAAAGTAACGAACTTATTTCATTCACGTATAATGAAATGTTATATACATTTTTATACATTAATTTAATATTTTGATTAATATTATTCAGGTTAACCTACATACAAATATGGTTTTATAAACTTAATATTTTCATCAGTTAAATAAACAGATCATATACAGTTAAGCAAATAATATAAATTAAAATGTTTTTTCTGCCAACTGTGTCTAAATAATTGTTAGTATGAATAAAGTTTTAGAATTCAGATGTGTATGAAATATGTTTTGCGCAGAAAATAACTGCCTCTGACTAGTTCTGTTCAGTGTAAATTATTAAAAATTTCCAATTACTTTTTTAACAACCATAATTATTTAAATTTTTAAAAATGAGACTCATTTTTTTTACAACAATTTTGAATGTAACAGCTTTTATTAAACAATGTTTCTTCAAACCTTAACAAATTGAACGAGTAAAATAGTAGTTTTGATTATTAATACATCAGTAGGTACATATTTTTGTAAACGTGAAATGAATTTAAATAACAATATAATATATAATTCAAATGTGCTCTCAAAGTATTTTAAATTATTTTAATCTTGTTTTATAAGTATACATAAAAATAATAGACATCAGACAGTAAACAGCACAAACATCATAATAATTTTATATCGAGAACACGATACTCGAGCTATCTGCAGAGCGTGCGAATAGAATACTATAGATGAAACCTTGAATAACATTCTTATCTTTCGTTTTTAAAAACATTTTTTATAATATTTTAAAACATTTGTACGATAAAACATTTTTCTTTAAAACATTGTTACGAATTTTTATATAACAGAAAATTGAAAAAAATAGGACTAAAAATAAGTAAGTAGAAACCGTCAGCTATTAAAAAAATTATTATACGACTCATAATATCTAAAAAAATATTTATACAAAATAAAATAAATCATTTTATTCAAAAAGACTAATAGATAAAATTTGTTAAAGTGAAAGGTTCACGAACATCCAAATGTTAGATTAAGAGAAATAAGTGAAAATATAAATGTAAATTAATTTATGTCATTCGTTAAGTTTTATTTTTTTATTCATTTAAAAAACTATGATTATCAAACATCCGATTACAATTTATATGTTGGTTATCTTATAATTAATACTTGCATAGCATTAAAAAACTGAAATGTAATTAAATAATGATTATTCAAACATTATAATAATATTGTATTATATAATTCAATGTCTTGGATAGATTTGAAATTAAGTTCTTTCCAACATTCGTTTGTCAAGTAATGGAATATTAAAATATATATTTTTATTTATAATTTCACTATTTTTCACATTTAATTAAATTCTTACAGTTATTTCTTACCGAATATTTACAAATAACTCCTAGTATCAAGTAAGATAAATCTCTTTTTCTATACTGCATAAACATAATAATATTATTACGTGTTATACGAATGTTAGTTGGCTTCATTGTGTATACTTTTAATGTGTAGTACATATACGAGTATATTATTAAAGCAGAGAAATATATGAGTGCTTTTACGAAAAAATAAGTATTGATTTTTTATGAAGAAAATGTAGATGTTATAAAACTACATATTAAATTGATCAAATGATGCGTTTTCAATTTTCAAGTAAGTATTAATATTAAAATTTGTATGATGTTAATTTAAAACCTAGCTTAAAATATATAAGTAAAAAAGATTTCTATTTCATTTTAGATTTTTTGTTAAATAACAGCATTTATTAACTAAGTAGTTTTACGATTTTTAATCAAATTTTGCTGACGTAGCATTTTTGTAAACTAATATTTTCCTTATAATCTATCAAATATTTTGGCTACTAACACTTATAAATTATAAATTTAAAGTTGACGCTAATACGATTTAATATAGTATATATAATGATTGAATAATACCACAGTTTCAAAACTTATTCCAAAGTTTTTACTCTGATTGTTAAAACTTAAACTTTAACCAGAACACAAAAATGAAATACTAAAACAATGAATTATTTTTGTTGAATATTATTATTAAGTAAAGCATTTAGGAAACAAAGAATGAAGATAAAATAATTAGCTTAATGTTAATTACTTAATAAATAAGAATAGGACATAGGACAAAGATTGCAGGATGTTGGGCATTGTTTTCTCACTTAACGTAAACCTGATAGATTATTATAAATTTGATAACAATGATTACCCATTACATTTGAAAACCATTATGAGTTAAGAGTACTAAAATTTTGTTAAGATATTGCTGAAAACGTGTTTACATGTCTCTATTATAGTGCTGTCACAACTTTTTACATAGTTTTTTTAATGTGTTGAAGACTACCCATTGAGAAATTTGAAATTTAATCATTTTTAAGTAGATTCTGTATTTTACATTTTCTATCTTCAATTTTTGCAAGAAATTACTTTAAGCTACGTTTTAGTTTATAAAATATATATAATATACTATCAGAACAAAATTATAATTAATTTCTCGTGTGTGTTATAGAATTCAAATTAAATATTTATCTTTGAATTATATTAATATAAAATCAATTTATCGTAAGTTATTTTACAAATAGACTACTTTGCTGAACCAATAGTAATTTATACAATATATTAATACTAAAAAAAATGGTTGATATAAAGTCATTTTTTACAAATTCATAGTACATAATTATAAATATTTAAATTTAAAACTGTATGATAGATACTTAATGGAAACTGAATAAATGCTTATACATGAAAACCGAGGTTAAAATCATCGAAATCATATTTAAATTTTCCAAGAGTTGTGTACATTAATAATCAACATAATTAAGTAGATACCCATACTTTACTATTCATTTTATTAAAATTATTTTGAATGCTAAAAAAAATGTAGATTAATAAACGTTAGTAATGACATATGATCATTTTAATCGTTTAATTTTTATATTTTTCACTATATATGGTAGTAAATATTAAGATTTTATAATATTACGCATTTAATTGCATAACTATTTTTTTAAGCCCCATGTAGAAGTTACATAACGCACACGGTATTATAATAGAGCATAAAATACGTTATTTTTTCAATACTCTCCATTGCAAATTGTCTACTAATTTATAAAATAGTAGAAACAATAATAATAAATATTTTAATGAAATATTCATTTATAAATTATATAGCAAGAAAAAATGAATAGTAAGTTTTGGTATTTTGCGTCCTTCTTTAAATTTAAAAATAAATAAGTCTTAAAATTGTTAACAATATTAGAAATTACTATTGAGTAGTGAATATAATTTAAAAATCTCACAAAATATATTTTAAAATTAGGTTGACTTAAATACTTGTAAAAAACTTTTTTGCTGTCGAAAAATATTTAATTTACCCTTAATGAGTATCAAATTAATTCATGACCAAGGGAAATAAAATATAATCTAGATAAAATTTATAAACGTACAAATACAGAATAAAAATACGGTGAAATTATGGTAGTAAAAATGAAATTACAAATTCATATGTTAGTTTCTAGTGAGAAACGCGGAGCAATATCTGTCACATGCAGAGCACTTAAAACTTCGTAGTTTTTGTGAATCTATATTTAAGTATTCCTTACACTTTAATAAAATTTAGAAGCTTAATAGTACTAATAAGTTTGATGCATTGTCCTATCTTTATGACTTAAGAAAACCATATATACAGCAATTATTTAAGTAAACATTTTAATGTCTTATATACCAAAACATGTTTAGTGGATAATCTCTTTAATATTTATTTGAAATGTGTATAATATCTTAACTCAATCGATTCCAACTATATTTTTT